AGGGTGCACCACGTGGAAGTAAGTCTATCGCACACCCCGTCATTACAATATAATGAAGGGCTTGTTAAACAATGCAGGCACCATTGACTGGAATCTGGATGGTGAGTCTCTGCACTCACGACTGCACTTCCTCCCAACGCGACAACCTTCGAGTCTCTCTGAGTGTGCATGAAATTTTTTTGAACACTCCAGGTGTAATACCTAATTGACGAATTCAATTATTGCAAATTTGGTGCAATAGTTAGTTGATATTGGGATAGTGTCCACACATCTGACATTCTAGAGGTCGCGAGATCCATGTCTTTTAGCTCACCTCTGGCAGCACTTGTCACTAACCACCCTGGTTGATTCAGATCAACAGGAATCACAACCCAGAGGAAGTTTTTTACTCAAATGAGTGGTGCCAGGATACTGGTCTACTGGTTAAGTAAAGTGTCACAAATTCTTCTCCTAATGGGCTTGGGAACCCATCAGAATGCTACTCCCAATTCTTGCCATATCAAACTCATATTAATCTAATTAATTTGTTATAGTATCTTTTTGTGAAAGGCACAAATATAGTACCGACATAAATAACTGTAAATAATGAGTTGGGACTGGCAGGTTCCCCTAACTTTGTCCCCAACCGCATAACTCATTACTATTCCTCATTTCAGACAGATTTTAAGTATCAAATCTTCGTTTGAAGTTATTTTAATTTACAAAAAATGGCAATTGAGATAATATCAAAAAAATGGAACATTAGGCTTGACTTTTAAGTCAAAATCTGGCATCTAGTTCAGAATTCGTAAGGGTATATCCATAAATAGGATTTGAAGGTCATTAGGTTCTATATTGTGAAAACAGGGGTGTGTGATAGACTTACCTCCACGTGGTGTACCCTGGGCAACTTATTCTCATAAGGCTAAAAAGTCTATTGATTAGCAGTTGACTTCTCATTTCTCACTCTGTGAAGCCCGAAGTCAGCTAAAGAGCTAATGATAACTATCAAAACGCCTGCCATTTGAAATAAATAAACAAATATTGTGTAAGCATGCTTTCTTAACTTTCTACTTTAAGTACATTCAAAACTCACGTTTGGTTTATGCTCTAATTCATAAAAGTTTGCTTATTAATTGTGCATCGAACTGGGCGTTTACAAGGCCAATTATGTGCAACTTAACAAAAATGCAGTCGGCATACTCTTACATGTTGAACATGTAAACTTTCACCATCACCCATATCAACACTCAATAAACGTAAACAACCAACATTCTCTGCCCCCCCCCCTCTACTTCCACCCCCCACCCTCTTCCAACGCCCATTATCTGATCGACCTTCAGGTCTCCCTGAGCCAATCAAATTTACAGATTAGCATGGAGTTTCCAGGAGCCAATTCAGCGTGTACTTGGTCGCACGCTGTGGACTTGTATATAAACCAAGCTTCTGTTTAATCTAAGCTTAAACGACTAACCATGCCAATTAGAACGTAGGCTTGCATTTACTGTCGAAATTATACCCTCTCTTTTTTAGCTATGAAGAAGTCAAAAAATTTCTGGAGTCATTGGATTATGACAAATCAGGAAAACTGAGTACAAATGAATTGCTTGTTGCTTTTCCGGATGACATTTCCATGAAAGAATTGCGAGAATTCATCAAACGTCATGACAAAGACGGTGATAATGAGTTGGATATTGATGAACTCTTGGAATTTTTCACCCAAAGCAATAAAGAATAAGCAATAAAATATATTAATACTTTACTATGTTTTAATATTAAATTTGCCTTAAATTGTGACTTGAAGCAAAGAAAAAGATCTGTCGTGCCAAATTGGTATATTGGAGAAAATCGATAATTAACAACTAAGAGTTGAAATCAAAATCTTAATTCATTACTTTCGATTTTTGTTCCTGGCTACATTTTAGCAGATTTATTTATATTATTATAGGTTTGATATTGTTATTGAACGAATTTTTCAGTCGTACGTATTGTAAACATTTTTGTTAAACTAATCTTGATAGAAGTATTATCAGACGTGACTTTGCCAAGGGGTGTTGGGGGGGGGGGGTTGACGTGAAGAAACCATATAAATCGAGGGGTGTACAACGCTGACAGGGCAATTCAAATGGATTTTATGCGACTTCGAACAGTCTGGAAGGTGCGCCATGCTTCTGATCACGTGACGAGCAAGTGAGCCGTCGTGAGTGTAAAGACCGACCAGCCAATTAGTAATCAGAAGCCGCTGAAACGTAGCAAAGCACTAAGCGTACTTTAAGGAATGAGTTGTGCGGACGTAAATGTTCTTTAGTCTGAAAATTCTGTTTCCTCATTACTGTTGGGGAGGAACAGCTGATTTCGGGAAGAACTTCATACCAGTGGAATTTTGTCAAAAAAAGGATTTTTAAGGTTTTTTCGAGACTTATTAACGTTAACAGGCACAGATTTTACGTTCCATAATCATTCAAAATGCGTTATGTCTGACTGAAAAGTAAGCACTAGAACGATAAAGAGGGCATTATTAGTTTCAAAGGAATAAACTTGTGAGAGAGGTAGAAGAAAGTTGAGATCGTTACATCTTGTAGCAAACTGTCAAAATAATATCATTATATAGTATTATACATACGTACATATATATACTATACTCTAATAAGCATGAAATGACTGTATTCTGTATGGCTAACAGGAGGAAGCTCTCTTTGAGACAAGACAATGAGAACGCGACCGGCTCCCTCCACCCCCTTTTTCAGTTTTGACTACTTTATCTACCGAACCAGTTGTAGTTGACGTAGTAACATGGGATGTAATCGAAACGGGACATGCCCTCTTTCTCTTGAGTACTCCGGGGATATTGCACTTAGTTTCCAACACGTTTTGGGTCCCAATTGCCGAATAGGAATCATTCAGCTTTAATTGCAGAATGTTAGTTGATTACATTAAAGGAGGGTATGTGTGATTATTGATCCACTAGCAACGGATCACCCACCTCTTATCACTTCCTTGTATACACATGCCGTTTGATTTTTTGTTTATGATTTTAACAGAGGTAGGAGCTTAAAGTATCCTGGAGTCGCCCTTACAAAAAAACACTTTCCACCACCTTCTCGTTGACGTGGTATGATATGGGTTGAAGTAAAACGTTGTGTTTAATGGAATCAGATTTGTTGATAAATCAGTCAACATTTTTTCGGAATAGATTTATTTTCATTCCATCAAAATATAATTCAATAATTATGAATACCATAAATACGCACCAGCCAAACTCATAAATAAACTGCATGTTGCGGTATTACTGATTTAGGATTTGCACATGCTTAAGAAATTCATATCAGCACTCCGTCTAAGAATCAAAAACCCTGGTGTTACTAGTTGACACCGATCTTGAAATTTACAAATTCGCAAGCCACTAGGTGATTTATCGAAGATTTATCAAGTTTATTCATGGAGATGCATGTCATTACCACATGATCATTTGTGAGAGCCAAGTATGATCCTATCATTAATCAATCACCACTGATCACTAGGTGTTGACAGACTTCTGCTGTCTATAACAATTCATTAGAGAATGAAAATAAATAAATAAAATTATATATAAATAAAATAAATAAATGAATAATGCAAAATTTAATGACCCTGAAGTTGAGGTCATCTGAATCATTTTGAAAGACTCTCTATGGTATGCTAGTATTGGATCCTATCTACTTCGTATTTGCCAAGTATGCTTAAATATATGGATACTAATTAAGCACAAATTAATGATGATTCCATTTCTCAGAAGTTGTACTGCCTTATTTTGCGTAGAATTGAAATTAAAATCCATTTAGCTTCGTTACTTTCTCCTTAATATAGAGTGAAATAATAAGAAATTCTTGTCAATTGATAAGGAGTAGTATCTGAATAAGTACAGTATTGCAGAACAGAACGGCAGGACTAAATAGCTAACAGAGGGTATGATATATTACCCATATGTAATACCCGGAGAAACCGAGGACTTCTTGATTGGTAAGTCAAGACATATGTTTTCTATTGTTGAATTATGTAACGCCATTACGTGACTACTGGGAAAGGTAATTAATCTCGATCATAAAGGATGACTTAATAGAGCAAGAATTATGAAGTTACTTTCTCGGTAAAAAAAGTCGTATATTAATAGCAGGTAAAAATTAGGAATGAATATATTTATTTGTCAATAGGATTCGAATTTTTTCCTGAGCTAAAGACTATCAAACACAGTTTGCTTTTGGTCGACTCCGAAGTCGAATATATGTAAACGGTAATGACATTTCTGTCAAACACGCTTAATTTTTAGGAATTAATGTTCAATATATCTTTTCTTAAATATTTGTATGGATTTTAAGTATGAAAACAATGCTTAAAAATAATTACATGAACATGACGCTAATTGAATTTCTATGAGCAAAGAAACTTTGAATGATTTTACGCCCTACACAAATTGGTAGAAGATATAGTTTAACAAATCCTTGAACATTTCCTTGGTTTTCACTCATTTTAAGTACCAATCTTACTTGATTGCTAAAAGGTCTCCCATTTCGAAGCATTCTGATATATATATATATATATATATATCAGAAAATGTAAAATGACATTGAGGAAACTGCAGAGTCAAATTTAACACAAAACATACAAGAATAAACTACAGATAATTTTTCTCTGATCTATTAATAATATATTTACTTTCATCAAAATATTAAGCAGTTAGTTTGCACTGATATTCTTTATTTTACAAAAAATGTCGTTTTACTATGTCATTTATATTTGCGCAGCTTGAACACCTGGTTAGGCTCGCTTCTCCTTGTGGTTGAGATTTGGTACAACGTGCAGGATGATTATATAGTTCTATTTGATTAGTTCTCTTCACTCATGTTATCTTCTTCAGCAATATCATATTTTGTCGGTTTTTGGGCATTTGCCTATTTTATAGACCTTGGTTTGTCCACTCATCCCTACACGCGCCAGAAATATATAGGCTTACGAGAGAGGGCAGGCTTTTCCATCAACATACTACAAGCCAAAGTTTTTACCCAAAAGCTCAACCCATTCTTTGAGCGTATCTGTGAGATTAATTGGTTTCCATGGAGTTTATGGTTTCTCGTTGGAACCGCTTTCTCAGCTGTTTTCATGCTATTGAGCATCATTGTATTATTCTTTCTGGCCTACAACACTATATTGCGAAAACCCATTGAAAAACAGGTCATTACACCCGTGGTAAGTTGGGTAATCATCTTATTACTATTTATTATTATCAATTATTTATCAATTATTTCTTTCGCTCTAGATGCCTGGTATAAATTTGCCTGTAAATCAACTGGGCTTTTATTTACTAACCTTACTAGTATGCGTTGTACTACATGAAGCAGGTCATGCAATGGCAGCTCTAAGGGAACGTGTTCGCATCCATGGATTCGGCTTCTTTCTTTTCGGAATCTACCCTGGCGCCTATGTTGATATTAGTGATACCGATTTGAATAGTCTTTCACCGATGCGTCAGCTAAAAATATACTCTGCTGGCGTCTGGCACAATGGTGTCATCGTAATTTTGAGTATCCTCTGCTTCTATAGTCTGCCTTGGATACTAAGTCCCGCTTATATCGTTAATCATGGCGTGGGAATTATCGATCTACAAGAAGTGAGTGTTTGATTTCCAATTTTTTGGCAATAACCGTAAATAGTACTGAGAATGTTAAATTTGCCGTCATTCTCATGTTCTCTCGTCGAGACTCTAGTCATCATGTTTTTACTTAGATTCCATTTAAAATACTGAAATTTAGATCAGAATTACACTTCCATATACCTCATCCCAAATTATAATATTTAAATTTTGCAGCTTTTAAATGCCAGGCAAAATTATATTCCTACTTTAGTATAATTGCAATAAAAAACTAGTGAGTAATTAAAATATTGCCTACTTGTTTTATTGCCTGGATTTAAAAAAATAATTTTTAAACCGGACTTTAGTTACTAGTTCATTTACGGTGTTGATGCTTACTGTTTAATTGATAAAAATTCCTTTAGTTATCTACATTCAGGAGTTGGAGAGAACTTTGGTGCCTGGGTTATGACATTGACATTTTCCTACCGAATCCATACTTATGTTCGTTTCCAGTGGTCCTTCAGTTTGGTATAATCAAATAATGGAGGTTTTACTCGTGTAATCCCCAGCGGCTTCCATAAATAGGTACATCTTCAAACGCCGACTCATGCCGGATTCCAATTAATGGGTTTTTCTCCAGCTGACCACTTACATCCTGTATTCTTTTTGCCTAAAATTACTCGAGGTATTCAACATCTGAGTTAAAATTTATTCCGCTTATAGCTGTTCATGTTCCTAAAGTTGTGCTCACTTCTCTCTTTTGAGTTATGTGAATTGAAATGAAATGGTATTTTTAAGTAATGCTAAGATGGTAATGTTTAATTTTCTACAGACTAATTCCTGAATTAGAAATCATGAATTTCCGAAGTTTCTCCAGATAAGAATTTCAATTATGTCGCTATGTGCCAAGTTATCGACACTACAAAATTTGGGAATCAGTCGTTCAAGACCTTGATAGTGATGATTTATCGTAGATGGATGAAGAGACTGTGGAAAGCTTTTGGCTTAATTATTTTCTAGTGTCATCTATATTCTTCTCACATCTTATTCTTTCATTTTTAATTACATAAATTGATGTTTAAAGTAAAGAATAGAGAAAAAATCGATACTACTCAGTCTTCATTGTTGAGACAAATGGGCTACTACTATGCTGGCTGAAACTAGTCAAGAGTTTGATGGTAAAGTTTGTAACTTTTCACATCTCAGAGACTCAAGATTGGGTGGTGGAATTCATTAGATTGGAATATCATTGCATGTTTTTTCCACAATGTGGACGTGAGAATTTGGTTCGGTTGTCCTCTTTAGACCCTATTTTTTTATAAACTATATATTTTTTTTCTTTTGCACATTGGGGCCACTCTTTTATACCTATCTTAATTTTATTTGTATTAACTATTTAACCATTTTTTTTCTCTGAATTTAATTTCAACCTCCCTTGTTCTGACCTACCAGTTGCGTGTAAGCTAAGTGTGGTGTTTTTTGCAAAGTTAAGGCTTTCTTAAGTATTTACACTTTTCTTTAACTGCAACGACCGACCTTTTTGCATTGTAAAATTATTATTATTCCGTACTTCGTGTTGAAGTAAAGTATTACAGCGTAGCAAATATGGTGAATTGATGTTCGTACGAACCTTTTGTTATAGTTTTGTTCATAATTTGTGCCAACAATCTTATTCAAGTATGCACATAAAGTTATAGGATTGAGCTATTTTCCATCCTACCTTTGGCGTAAACCCACAACGCTTTCCCAAGCGCCTGGAGTATTGCTATTTATAATAAATACTTGTTTATGGTCTCGAAGCAGCACTATGAATTCCTTATCATAAATTCCGCCATTTTGGTAAGTCGTAACAGTTCCCTGGAGAGTACAAACCCCCACACTCAGTGTGCGAGTATGCTCTGGGAGCAAAATGACAATGATTGGACTCGGTCGACTCACGAATGTTTAATTGTTACCTCATGCTAATTTTAGCATTTGACCTTTTAAGGAATTTGACTATGGAATTCGAGCTCTTGCGCCTGATTGGCTCATTCATTTGTCTTTGCTTCCTTGTTTTATTCGATTTAAATGCTTTTGTAGTGTAGTGGTTCAACCACCTGTAGATGCCAATCGCAATTCACTTACGAATGAGGGATCCTTACTTAGATACACTAAACTGCATTTTTATCCCCCCCCCCCCCCCCCCCCCCCTCCCTCCCTCAAGTGCACTTTAAATCTACGACCTAACCTACGCGATAGAGAGAGAGTGAATGAATGTTTGAATGTGTGTGTTTTGCCACATTTGACCTCGCATAAATCTGGTTACTCATGCTTGTTTGCCCCAAGGGGTAAGTTGGCGCATTTTGTACCGGGCGTAGGCTTATGGCGAAACACCGATCTTGCTTGGTAGCGTATGTATCACTCACTCCCCTTGCGTGTTCATTTGAACAGGGATTTTCAAATCTACGCCTTTTTTCTTTACAGTTCTAAGGCATTTTGATCTTCTAATATTAGGTTGTACAATTCAATTTTGGTCACTGTGCCATCACTTGTGACCCACTATTTTAATAAATTAGATTACTCACCCACTGACTTGCGTGTCTCCTAAGATAGCTGCTTTGTGCATTAAATTTCTTTAGATGACCTAAACCGTGACCTCAACATGTGGGGTGGGGTGGAGTTGGGGGGGGGGGGGGGGGGCTTATCGTAATTCATCGGCAATTTTAGCGAACCTTCTTGAACACACCAACTTTGAAGCTAAAGATCAGATATCTAGCCAGATTTTGGTCAGAAACACTTATTCTCTTCTAAAGCTCTTTTCTGGACAAAGTATTGGTGTTTTTTCTATCCCACCTAATTTAAGGCTTGCAAAAGGTTGTTTATTTTTGTTGATTGATGGATTGATTGATTTCGGTAATAGATCTCTTAATTCCAATAACAGCAACATTCACTAAGTGCCAGTGTTTTAATTAAAATCGGCTTTTAATGAATGCTTTGATATTTCATGTAAATAAACCTTTAGTTTCTGTTGACAAGTTATTGTGTGCTGTCTCTGACTTTAAAGCACTTTGTTTCCACTCATCGATTTAGACTGTCATTTCTTTACTGAGTTTAGTAGGTTTCTATTTTTAGTGTATGACTCTTTGTTTGATAATCCACTGGCCCACCCCATTCATTTCAAGGTAACCGGTATAACACCTTTCAATTAAGACATATGGCTTAATTATTGAAGAAAAAAGCATGAATATCTGATGTGTAATCGCCTTGATGCTTGAGTATCTTATTCTGACTAGCATTGACCAGGACATCATTCTAATCATTTGCTAGCTACCTATGCTGGTGGATGAAGAGGATCAAGGAAAGGTGGAGGTCCGGTTTAACGCCCTGTTTACCCTCTTTTCTATTGAGATCTCTTTATAAGGCGAAATGTCTCACCCTAAGGGTTTGGAAATACTAGCATTTTCTCTTCTTTCTCCAGAACTCTGTTTTCTCCGGTCCTCGAGGTCTTCACTTGGGAGACGCCATAACTCAGGTGAACACCTGCCCTGTCACCACTCCTGCTGAATGGTATCGTTGTCTACAGGAGGCCAATGCCAAGCCAACAGGCTACTGTGTCCCCAATAGTTTCATCACCCAGCACCTTTCACTTCAAGCGGCGCCGGTTGCTACTGGTGGAGATCAACCGGGTCTCCGCCATCTCTCTGCTGTGGTTCCCCAGGCTCAGCAACAACAGGAGCAGGAGGATCGGAATGCGGATTTGAAACAGCATCAACAGTTTATTAACGGAAGTGGAGTGGACTGCTGTCCATCTCATCTCGCCTCTACCCATATCTGTTTCACGCATATGGCCAGTGGAATCAGTTCTAAAGTAATTCGATTTTTTTTCATTTATTGGTTACTCCTCGTCGATTGTTAGTAGAACTCCCAACAGTTTATTCAAATATATCCGATTGCAACAGAAAGAGGGTCTATTAGCGATACAGCGTCTATTAGATATAGAGAAATGGAAATTGCAAGATTCTTATTCTGAAAATCAATGATTGCTCCCACAGTTTTAGAGGATGTTGAATAGAAATCCCACTAGATGATAGTCAATACTTTCTCAATTTACTTTTAAGTTGTTTGATACCAGAAAAAGCTTGCGTGTTTCCCGCCGAGGGGTGTTCAATTGACGCGTTCATTTGCGCAGTCATATGTTATGAGCTCAAGGCACAACTTACCATCAGAATAGTCCACAGCACCAATTAAGTCCGGTAGCAGGATTTAAATCCATCATTATTCCGAATCTACGATACAGCTCTATTCAAGATCAGTGTTTAAAATAACTGCTATGGATGGATTTTAGAACTATTTTTATTTAAGAAAGCGTCTGATTGGCTGATGCTAATTACTGACCGATCAATTGACCAATGGTTGGTTATAATAGAATGGCTAAGTCAGGTGGAGTTTTCATAATATGATATATTTACATTGCTTTGAATATATGATTCCCTTATTTTATATGGTAGCTTTTTATGGAGATCGAGCGAGCGTATTTACACACTAATTTCGTGCATTGTTTTCGGCTATATCATACTCATTCGATTTGACAAAGTGTCTTTTCAGTGCTCTGGTTGATTAGGAGTCAGCTTTGTACAGTCATCTGTTAGAATCTGACCCAGTTTGGATATTTTTCTCTTCTATGAGATATCCACATTCTATTTTATCATTTTTTGTCCTGGTACTCCTTGAAAATATCGTAGAATTCAACTTTAAATATCCTCATATACCATAGGATAGTCAGATTACTTGATGTTTGAGATGTAAATTGCTTGAACTGTTCTCTTTTTTGCTGACGCAACAAAAAAGCGACTTTCTGCCACAATCTCTTTCTACTGCGTTGCTAAGTTAAGAACTTTAAGTGTATTGATTACCGCCTCCATACCTCAATGTTGTAGCCATTCTGTGTGTGGGTATTTTTTTTGCTAATTGGTTATATCCTGCTCTTTGAAGCCACTCGTCTATTAATTAGTCTTCAGCTCGTTAACAGCAAGTTTGAAGGAGATAGAAGAGTTTGATTGGTGGATGAGTGGATGGTACTTTGCTTGCCTATTCTTGCTTGTTTTCGTTTCCCTGTGGGGTGTGTGTGTGTGTGTCGCCAAAGTTTCTTCACTCCTTCCTCTCCTATCCCATCCCCTTCATTCCCCTTCATTTCTCTTTTTTGACGACAATACTGTGCTGTTTCAATTCAATGGTTTTATAATCTTCAACAAAGGTGTTACAGCACCGTTTGTGCATTATATTATTAATCTACGCCAGTAATTTAGAATTTTAAGCACCTAACAAGATGAGTGGCTCATTTATGCCCCCCCCCTCTCCCTCCTCGTTTCGCTTATTGAGAATCCTGGTGTTTTCTTAGTTGTTTTACCTATGAAACAATGTTGTTTATACTTTCAAACACCACTTGTTTATTTTGTCTGTCGGTATTCTTTTGTCTCTGTTTTCTCTCTCTCTCCGATTTCAAACGACCCTCTAACTTGTTAGGCTCTGTAGCGAAAACCACACACTACAAGAGACACTAGCTTATTGGAGGTAAATTTTTGTTGCGTTATCCTCCATCCATACCCTCCAAACTGCTCTAACTCAAGATAGGAAGGAGCTGGTTTGACGGATGGGCCAAAATATTTTTCGCTTTGTGTGAAGGATCTCTAGAGACCTCTCTTTAACCCGAGGGGAGGGGTTGGTGGGGTGGGGGGGAGAAGATGCAGGATTGGCGGTTGGGTATGTGTGTATTATTTAGATGTCAATTGATTACTCCTCTTCTTAACTTTTAGTCAGTGCAAGTGGCTTTATGTGATTCTCTATAATGCACACACACACCCACATGAAGGAGTGTGTGTGTGTGCATTTGAAGTTTGTTCCAACTCCTATGCAGGTCATTGAAAATAGAGCCAAATTTATTTGTTATGTGTGAGTTCTCAAAGTTCCCTGCATTTCCTTTCACCCCCCCCCCCTCCCCTTCCCACTCAAGGGGGTGTTTACAGTGGTTCTATGCCAAAGGTACTCTTAGTCTCGTAAGTCTGGCTATAAACGGTTGTTAGCGTTTTTGCTAACACTCAATCATTGTTTATATCGTTGGACAGGTCAGTGTTTATTATTACTATAGGGCGACTTAGCTGTGCCTTGTCCGTTTACCCTCGAAAGCCACCCCTCCAGGTTGTGGTTGGGTTTCGGGGATATGCACTTTCACTGACTACTTTGTCGACGACTTCCATGAAGTCTCTTTTTTTTCAACGCGACACAAATGTACATTTTACTGAGGCGTTAAGGTTGATTTCAATGGGAGCACATACCGTCTGTTGGGAACTGTGAGCTAACTGGTCATCTTGTAGGAATAATTGTCGAAAGCTCACTTCAATTGAACAAATTTACAGTTAGATGTTAGAAGTAAATGGATATGGGACTAAATTTCACTTTGTTTTCTCGTGATTCTTTTTTTTCGCTTTTTCTTTCCGGGAAAAATATTGATTTGTAGATCATCTTACTTGTGTTTATTCCTCTTGAAAAGGTTTAGAATCCCCAAGTGAAGTGATATTTCTCTTATTATGAAGCTCTTGGTTTTTTTTCTCCAAGTGACCGATGTCGTATTTTGTTTTATTGTCGGATTTGTTTTAATCGAATTTAAACGTCTTGGGAACTATCACCCTCGATATCAAATTATCTTAGTACCTGGAATAACGAGATTCCCTGCCTTTTGTCAGCCATGTGCACTTTCTCTCTCTCGTGCTTACTTGAAATGTTTAATAGTACATTTCTTCTAAACATACTTGAGTATCTTGGTACATTTTCATTAAGGCTCATATGTATTGAAAATCATTCCATGACGCGTAAAATACAAGTTGAACGAAAGCTGCCATCTACTGTCTCTCGGAATACCTAGTCTCCTTGACAAAGTACTTTAAAGGCTAATAGTGCACTCATCTATGCGCTCAACATGATTTCAATTATGTAGATGTCTCGAGTTTTTCACTCTGCTATGAAGAAATAGCACAGGAGTTTAGTCTCCAAACTGGAGATGTCCTAGCTTTGCTTGTCCCTTCCTAAGTATGCATAAACATTCAGCGTATGCTTGTTTTGCCCTCTTGTTGCAGAAGCCCCGATCTACTTGTCTTCCTGCCCGAGCAGTGACTGAGAAGGAGGCCTGCGCGGTTCCATCGGACTGTGGACGTGTGGCCGACAGTCGCGTGGCGTGTCTTTTGCCAGCACCTCCAGACAACACCACACGCCTCGTTCGTATCGTTCATAATCGCGCTCGTTCCCCTGCCGTGCTCTTTCTAGGACCTGTGGAGGAACTTATGTCCGCTGTCCAGATCTCCGACTATGTGCCAAGGTGGCCACAAATCACCCCCTGTCGATTTCCCTACATTATTTCCACTTTTTGCCGGTAAGTTACTTACATTTCCCCATACTTTTGACTTGATTTCATCACGCTACAGTTGGTTCGGTTTAATTTTGGCCTCCTTCGAAATTTGCTTTATTTCTACTGTCAAAGCCGTGGTGACGTCAGAGGTCAGAGGCTTTAGCGATTTGTGTGGTATGATTTTAACGCCAAAACTGGTAGAGTCCCCTATTCAAGGTACATTTTAGCTCTTCTTGTCACCCCTCGTTCCAGTAGTTGACAGCTATCAATTCAATGTGCTTTATCTTTGAGATTTTCTCTTTTGATTATCATTGATTAAGACAACATTCGAAACGGCTACATTGTACCTTACTGGTCTGAGGGAAGTATCATAATTTGCCCAATTTCGTACTCTTTGTGGGCATGCAAATTATTCAATGCTTTTTTCTTTGACGATATTAACACTTTATCGCATCGTTTGAAAAGAAAAAAAACCATAACATCTTTAAATTTGTCATCTCGTTTCTTCGTAATTTTGGATTGCTTGTTGGCATTTCATCGGCAAGATATTTTGGCTTTAGGCTGTGAACCTAGTTGTTACGTAGTATGACGGTTGTAAAGTAATGCAAAAATTTATTGTGCACTCCTACAATCCAAAAACTAACGCCATAGATCATTTACTTAAAAAGTATGTTCTGTAAATTACCCGAAATAATCGATGCTCGACTGTCTGGTTTTTTCTTCAGGTACCTATTTTCCCTCTCTGGTGCACTTGTCCTCTTCAATGTTGTGCCCTGTTACGCTCTTGACGGGCAGGGAATTTTCAAATCCCTTCTGGAACTGGCTCTCCCATCATGCGTTTGCTCCCGTCAGATTCGCCGCCTAATATTCTCCACAACCCTCTGGCTTGGCACCGGTCTCGTCTTCCTCAATATTGCCCTTGCTCTCTACTACCTCCTATTCTAAGCGTAGTCGATCTTCTCTTTCACCTCTCTGCCCAACCGATATCTCCCGTCCCGTTCCCTCTCTCCGATCATTTGTAATGCCGACTTTACACCTTTCTTTGTAACAACCCCTATATCTTATTTGGCCTCTGTCATTTTTCTACTTATTATTGCAACCATATCTTTGTATGTAGAGTTATAACCTCAATTAAATATTAATCATGGTGAAATTTTGTTCATGGAGTCTCTTGGGTTCTCCTTTTCTTAAATAGTGTTATGGTATGGTATGGATGATCATTGCTGCCTCCTTTTACTTGGTCACGTGATTGATCTAACAGCATTTGATAGAACTGTTTTATGAAGGTAAATTATTTGGTGGGATGAAGTCAATTTCTGAATAGTTAATTTAATATGTAAGATATTATTTTAGAAATTGAAGGTATTGAAACTTCTACAGCTAGGGATGTTATTTGTTTATTAGCTTGTTGCCATGTTGGAAACCAGTAGCGGAATAGGAATTTGTGTCGAACAATAGCCCATGACTAAGTCAAATGAAATTACGCTCAAATATGGAGCCTATGAGGCATGTGGGATTTCGTTGTATCGTACCCAGCGTTTAGAAGGCCTAATAAGTAATTTTTGCTTTATAAATGGCTATATTCCTAGATTTATTAAGGTTGGACGGCTATAAAATATTATTAGAAGAAATTCCTCTCGTTAGAGACATATTAGAAATTTGGATGATGGACGAAAAAATATACACATACTGCGTAAAATATCTAAATTTTGGTAACATTTTTCTTAATAACTAATATAAGGTGGCGACGGCTATTTAGATATTAATGCTAAAGATGTTCATAAGAAAATTAGAGATTTTTTCCAGGATTGTATTGAAAATTAAACATGCTAAAATTTATTTTGGCTAACTAATTTATCAATTAAATGCGTTTCTTGAGACATGTACGTGTTATTTATAATTTATTGATTTTACTTGATTGCCTAATTTATCACTTCATATTAATATAACAAAACGACCTTGGCAAGAGATGAAAATCTTTGAAATGATAGGGCCAAAATGTAAAGTCAGCCTGAGTTACAATTCGGACTACTTTGCCATTAACAGGCTCAAGGAGCTCGAGGAAACAATCTCTTCTTATTATTAGTTCTTACAGAAACTCGATTTCATGTGCAATTCCTTAAAAATATATTTTGTAAACTATCTCATAGTAATATAAGCCAGGAGAATATGGTTATCTGGAAAGTAGCGGCTTTGACGAATAATTGGGTGCCCGAAGTTCAATGAGTTGTGTTCCATGTATTTAGCTTGCGATTAAATTTATATGAGGCTAACTAATATTCTATAATATCCTTTGTTGTAATACTTATAAAAAATTATCATTAAGTTATGCTCAAGTATATTAGTATCAACGATGATTGATCCTTGTTTAGAAAATGGAATACTAAGCAAATTTTGTCCCATTTACAGTTGTTATTACGATTTAAGGGATATAGCTATTGATAAAATAATGACAATAAAATAATTCACGATCACATAATACTTCCTCTCGAATAATTTTTGTAAAATGCACAATTATTATTGCTTCCAAAGCTTGAATTATTTGTACATGACGGCATTTTTGAGCTAAATTAACCGATAGAAAATATCACTAGAAAGATTGATATGGAATAAAAACTTTATATCATAAAATTAAATAATTATTAAAAAATAAAGAGTTAGTGAATTACGTAATCTTTATTATTTTTAATTGTTTTTCCGTGCTATTCAGTATCTTTTAAACACTGTAATAGTTTTGTAGACCCTTTAAAGCTATGTCTCTCAGGTTGTCGGTACTTGGTAAGGTTTGAGCGACTTAGTGATATTTTCCTTTTTATAGTTCTAATCGCATTTGCCTTTGCAATTGTGATTTCCTCTGATGAAACTAGAAAGAAAACCCCAGAGGTTCCTATCATTAAAACAGCAGCTACTGTTGTAGCAGCTTCTACTACAACAGCTAGTTCTACTTTATTAACTCCTACTACTACTGCAAAATCTCCTACCGACGCAGCGTCTAATGCTACTGCAAATACCCCTACCACTGCAACACATCCTTCTACTGAAACAACTCATAATACTGTTACACCTATAGCTACTGCAACAAATCCTGCTACTGAAACAACTCATAATACTGTTACACCTACAGCTACTGCAACAAATCCTGCTACTGAAACGACTCACAATACTGTAACACCTACTGATACTCCAACAACTCCTAATACTTCAGCATCTACTACTGCATCAACGCCCAGTACAATTTCAACACCTGCTTCTACTGTAACAGCTCCTACTACTCCGGAAACAACGTCTTCTCATTGTACATCAACACCAGATTTGACTACTACTTCACCTCCGGATGGAATACCGGAGTTTGTTCTGGTAGAAAATGGCACAGTTTGCATTATTCTTAAAGCCAATCTTCAATTATACGTCACTTATTTCTCTGTAAGTTATATTTTACTGTTCTATGATATTTGTTCGTTTAATTAACAAATCTTTTCTTTTATAGGATAAATCTTCTTTGACTAAAATACTCATCGTCAACCAAGACGTCAATGTTAGTGGTTCGTGTAGGTCTGAGGAGGAGAGGATTACTTTTAAATGGCTTGCTGGCCAACTTCCTGATGAATTCAGCCTAACCATGAAACTTGTACAACTGCCAAAATCTCCTTCTAAACTTGGGGGCTCTGTTGTCCGTGGTGTCCATTTCGAGTATTTTCTTTCCTCCGATGTCTTCCCATCTACCAACACTACCGGTATGTTTGTTTTTTTCCACCTGTATTTTCACGTCGTAATGTAATCGCAATTTAATTACCTTAATTTATTACAATAGGTCATAAAAATGCTAGTGTTGAAGGTTCGTTTTTCGAAACCCCTGCCGCTATGGGCTTTACTTGTTCTGCGCAACAGAATATCACGATGGGTAATGTTGTTCTTGGCGTTTCTCATCTTCATTTGGAAGCCTTCCGAAACTCTTCATCACGCCATTTCAATGAGAAAGGTTTGTGCTTTTTGACGGTCTTTTGCATTAGTCGGGTTGAAATTTACGCCAGTTTTTTATGTTTGTATTAAAGCTATGGATTGTACGGACATTCCTGCATCAAATCAAGTTGTGCCGATTATTGTCGGTTTAACGGCTGCCATCTTGATTTTGCTTGCCCTTTCTGCCTTCTTCATTGTGAATCGTAGACGAGCTCAGGGGTACCAGGTTCTCTAAATTTCGCGGAATTTTTCCAAAAAGCAAACGATATCAGACAATCACACAGGTTGATTCATATGTCTCACTTATTGTGCCTGTTTCGTGACATTTCAATATTGTTACATCGGTCATCCTTAACTTTTTATTACTATTATTATTACTGAAAGATTCGTACTCCGTTTTCCCCGCCTCCATTGAAATGTTACCCTATTGCTTTGTAACATGCAAAATTGAAACTACTTTGATCTTGCTGTTTTCTTTGTACCTCCTAAGTGTGGTTCTAGCGCACAGTTTAAACCTTTGACAATTTTTGAGCAAATTTTATCTTATACTTTTGTAGCTTTTTACTTCAGCCAATCTAGTTATCACCAATGCATGTTGGAGACAAAATTCTCAAGTTAGTCCTTCCAAATCTCTGCCAATGTCGCTATAAGAGACTGTAAAGAAGACGAAGTCTGTGCCAATGTAGTTATATAAGAAGTGGGCCTTAAGAAGGTTACGGTTTCATGGGCAATAAACCGGGAATGTGACCATTAATTCCAAAACCAAACAAGGCGAAAATCTATTATCAATTTCACGTCTTAGGAATGAGTAGTATGCTAAAGGAGTTTTGTGGTTAGGAATTGAAGGGTCAAAGTATCGGCTGGTAGGAACTCGCGTGTTGAGCATATTTAACTGAAAAAATCAATTTAAGTTTTTTTGTATCAGACTAAGCTCTTACCCAACTATAGTGCTTATTTATTTCATGGCATAGTTTTGAGATTTTCAAATTGTAGCACAACTTCGATATCACGCGTAAAAGAAACGCACTGATCGAGCAAGGGTTGAAGGTTCCTGTTTTTTTATTACCTATGCCCGTGTTGACCAGATACTTTTAAGACGCATTTCCAACCGTGATTTGAAGCGTGCCATCAATTCAGACCACTAAAGCCTACCATTGTCCTTTGCCAATGCGGTAAATTGCAAAAGACACTAAACGAAGATATCCTATTCATTCCCCCTTCTTTGATTGGGTAAAATAAATACGTTTACTACCTTTAACAGCCCATTCATTGCTATTTAGGGATTCTTGAAGGGTATGCTACATTAGTTGTCTTAAGTAGAAACTTTATGTTAAAATGGGGAATAAGATGCTAATTTGGTATGGGATTGTGAAATCGATAATCGATAGCCACCCACTGCGCTCTAAACTGAAATGTTACCATTCAAGCATAAAAGCCGGCTTGTTTAAAAAATAATTTAAAGTAAAATGTGGCATGATAAATAATTTTGAGGGAAATCTAGGCTACGAATCTTCAAAACCTAGATCTTGGTTAAGTCGAATTAGCGCCCCTTACTTTTAAGCTGGCTACCTTCGATTATTATTTGGTATCACAACTTAATTGGATTTACTTTTAATTGGGTCAAAATGGAAATCAATTCTTATGCAAACAGCTGTTGGGCTGTTCCCATCGTGCTAAATTACCAACAAGGGTGCATTAAATGACGAAGCGTGTATGGGTTTAATGAATTTGCTCGTCGTAGAAATGGGAGCGTGTGTTTTCGAGGGGGCCTTTGTCTCATTTTCATATGAATTTTATATAGCGATGAGAAAGGCTAACCAATAAGAGAACATAAGACTGACAGAGAATTGTGAGGAGCAAATGTGAGAATATCATGAAGGGTGTATAAACGATTAAAAAGCTAACGCAATGGATTCACGACAAATCAACTCATTCATGGGTTAAAAGTATTCATAAGTTACGAAATATCGATTTAAATTTGTCCTGCATTTGGTACAAATTAATCAAAATGAACTAGTTTATCTTCTCTCACGTCAGATATAAAGCTAGGGCCATTCGACACAGAGATGATCGATAATGGAAATAAATTTACAGTTCTTGCTTTGCAATTTTTTGAGAAACTATAATCCTTCAACTCTCAATTTATGCTGCCAGAAATACTCGATCCTAGAAAGAATAAGAGTGGAGGTTTACGGCTCAAACGAGGATATTTTTAGATTATAATGTAGGTTTCTAACGTGGAAAGCGATACGTGTCAATCAATTTGCTGTTCAAATAGACAAGCATTTTTTTGTAGAGGTCATGCTTATCAAGGACAAGGGCATAAGATCCAGTGCAAAATTGATAAAGCTTATTGCTTTTGATCGGATGCATCGAAGCAATCTGATTGGGCTTCCCAACTGGAAGCAGCCTCAAACAGTTGATGATCACAAATAGTGGGAGATATCCTATAAAGCTGAGCCAATGGAAATTGAGGTTTAAAGGAATTGACTGAGAATATTTGACTAATCGATTGAGATAGGATGCCAAATGTCTTAGTTAAATGACATCGACTAAGCGCTTTTGTCCTCTTGAACTCCTTTGTTGATAATTCATAAGTTACTCTCGATCTACGGAAACTCCAGTCTTCATCGCCAATGGATGACTAACAGAGTACTCCTTCCCCATTACAGAGAAAATAAGTCGTTTTGACTATTTCAGTGACTGAAATAGACCCAAATTAATCCTTTATTGGCTTACGAAGCATAAGTTACGACCAATTGGATGACACTAAATTTCAATAGAATCGCTACTATTTCGCAGTTTTCTTGAACATAGACTTTGCCCCTTAATGATTAGAACAGCGATATCGATTGAGATTCAAAGTACTAAGATCAAATGAACCATTATTGTAACATTATTCCTAGTCTTAACCATTTTAATGCCTCTAGTAAATATGATAAAAATATGTTATTCGGAAAATGTACGATTTAACCACGAACGTTTGTTGTATGTGACTGATGGAGACTTTGGATGAAAAAAAAGAGATAAACATTGAAGCGTTATAAACACTGAGAATGAATTAGCATAAACAATTTGACCTGCATTCAGGCTTTTAGCCACAGGTAGAAATTATAGAAATTATAAATTTCCGACTGTTAATTCATAATGGAAAATCAAGTTATCTTAAATATAATTCAAATACAAGCTGTTATTGATTGAAAGAAAGCATATTACTGAGCTAACGGAGAAACATGTCCTGTAAAACGCATTTAATGTGAATAAATAAGAGTTGCAGAGACATATCTCATTAGCCTAATAGGGAGGGAGGGGGGGGGGGGTTGGCAAACGAAACGTTATTCAGGCACAGATAGCCGATCAAAGGTCGTGAGATCGAGGTACATTTATTTCCCGTTTGATGAAAGCTATGATCAATAATTACTGATAAGCCCATAGGCTATAAGTGGTATTCTAACGTATTGCCATTACTCATGCCAGATAGCGTTAGCACTTCTCCCCAGGAGGTTTAGTCATGTTGAAGGTAGAACTGACGTCCTGTGACACCTGTGGAGTTCACAGCGTTACCAAGGCTAATAAAATGGACCAAAATCGCACTCGAACTGTCTGGAAGGTACATCTGTACTTCTGACCGCATGACGAGCAAGTGAGGTGTGAATGCAGAGGCCACCCAGCCATCATCGATCAATAGTCGTTGAAAAGAAGCTCTTCTCAGAATATTTTATTTCCTCAATACTGCTGTAGTGGCGTGGCTCCCTTGGAGAGCAATTTTATCTAGTTGAATTTGGTCAGAGAAGATTCTTGAGGCTTGGCCAAGGCTTATTAGCTGAATATTTCCTACGAGATCTAGATAGATTGCTAAAAGCCCAAATTATCTCTAATTTATCTCTTACCTCCATGTGGGGCACTCTGGGCAACGTATACTCATACGGCAAAAAAAGTCTATTAACTGGCAGTTGACTTCTCACTTCAAATTACCATCACCTCACTGTATGTCGTATTCCACCTCTTGCACCGTACTCATCTTACCTTTTCTCTACCCTGGTGTCTGCTTCTTTCGCATCTTTGAAACACTCTTCTGTTCCCCCACCCCCTCGACTTTTTTCCCTTTGATGTTCCTTCGCCTCAATGAAGCCTAAAGTCAACTTAAAGGCTAATGATAACTATCAAAACGCCTGTCATTTGATATAAATAAATATCTAATTTATCCTACCACCTTTCATAACTTTGTATTTATAATCTAAATAGGTATTAAATGTGAGTTTTGTTAGATTTTTCTCGACATGCTTAATAATTAATGCCCCAAAATGACATCTCTAACTGGGGACTAAATTAATCCATCCACAGAGATTTTATTGGTATTTCCAATTTGGTTACCTTGACAAGTTGGCTGAACGGAGACGAATTTCACTTTCCATTGTTATTGTTATTCTACAGGCCATGAGATTTGATGTCATCTAATTGTTTAAAATGTGATTAATTAATCACACACAAAAATGAGTCATAAATGCCTTAATTCTAATCAACTGATGGAATGTAGGTACATAAACTCAAACGCATGATATCTAATTGGGATGATTATTATTATTAGCAAAGTCCATCAGCCACATTTTTCCGCTTTTCACAAATCTGGTCATCCAAATCGCGCACCACATGGAAACCTACTCAGTACAAATTCTCACGCTTATATCTCAAAATATTTAAATACAGAATTATAAAATTAGTATGGACTCAAATCGATAATAATTAAGATGTTTTTTTGCGACCAACTGTTAGTGGAATGTTCTAATTTTAGTCAAGTAATTAAAATATCATTCATACTTGCTGTCATTGCCTAACAATGCAACTTCAAGCGCACTCAGACAGGCTCGAAAGTGCGCCGTGCTACCTCGCAAAGGGATTAAGTGCGGTGGTGAACTCGGAGATCACCAAGTCAACCGTCAACCAATAGCCCTTGCTTGGTCTAGCAAACGTGTCATTGTATTATAATGACTAAGCTCCAGGTCTGTAAGACACGAACCCGGAAAGCGTGTTTCACACTATACGTCTATTTCCTTCTAAGCGTTGTGGTCGTTTTGCCTTTAAGAACTAGGATATCTTGCCAAATTGATTACTGAGTATACATCAAGGTTTATTAGTTTAGTTAATCGGGGTGTGCGATAGACTTACCTCCACGTGGTACACCCTGGGCAACGTATACTCATATGGCAAAAAGTCTATTATTCGGCAGTTGACTTCTGACTTCAAACTACCATCACCCCATTGTATGTCATATTCGACCACTTCCACAGTACTCACCTCACCTATTTCCACTTTTGTGACTGTCTCTTTTACATCGTTGAAACTCTCTTCTGTTCCCTCTCTCCCTCTTGACTTGTTTCACTTTGATGTTCCTCCTCCCCTCTATGAAGCCCGTAGTCAGCTAAAGGGCTAATGATACCTATCTAAACGCCTGCCATTTGATATAAATAAATAAATAAGTTTAGTGAATCACTACATCTGAGAATTTATCCGATTACAATTGTCTATACTTCGTACAATAAAACATGCACCTACATAGAACGGGCATGGCAGGTATAATTCCAACTAACAATCTCAAATATCCTCAAAAATAGCAGAAACCCTTGCAAGAACTCAGGTGAATAGCAACACAAAAACTTGGTAGCAATGGATTGCGTCTTTTGATATAATATGAAGAGGGAAGAAAATTGTTTTCTATTACTTGGAGTTCGAAGATGACTTTGTCCTTTCACTTACCTGCATTTCTAGCTGTCCAGAAAGCTGTGGCTAGGAAATCACGAGTGAATTGGAATAATCCTCTTTGAGTGCCGGCACTTTATGGACTTCCAGAGGCTTAGAAGTCCTGATTCTCAAAGTCATGCTTTGATTAATGGTAGCGGCAGTCTGGAACCTTACAGGAACACCCTTCATCTTCGAATTGCGTCTCGACTCAGTGATTACGGGAATAATTTCGGACTTCTTTACTTACCCTTCTTTCAATTTGTTTGACATTACATATTTGCGGTTTTTCTTGTGGCTTTTTTCTTCTCACTTTGTCATTCTTTGCAGGACGTCCATAAATTAACGTCTCCTCGAGAGCAGACAAGAGCCAGTTTCACTTCTGTGTCTGATATATATATATATATATATATATACGCTTTCATTATCGAAAATCTACCAAGACTGACATTGAAGCTCGAGGCAAATCACCAAATTATGTTTGGTTTATCTTCAGTCGTTTCAAAATCTGATTCTCATTTCATCTTTAATTTTTCAACAGGCTTGTTGAAATTCTGAGAAGCTGCATTCCACTTCATACCTTTTTTGACCTGATTACCAGTTCTGTCGTCCGAGGGGTCGAGGATTTGTCTGTAAAGCACTAAAATTGACTCATTCAAGAAGAGTATGAGCTAATTCACTCCTTCTGCTCCGACAAACGGATTTTTGTGACTAGCCCCGGCTTTACATCGAAAATGATGAAGAGCGATGGGATTGTGATCATCCTGTTAATACCCACCAACCAAGGTCGACCACTACTTTGGAACCAACTGATTGATCCTTTTCAATATCAGCGGTGCTGGCAAGTCGAACATGGATAAAGAAGGTGAAATCCAACCTGGTGCTGTTTCAGATTAATAGAATCCTCTAAGAGTTGGTTGATTTAAATCAAGTTAGATCGCTGCAACAAAGCCTTTAAAGAATTAAATTCTAAATTGCTTTCAGCAACCAGCTGAATTACTCCACATACAGGTGTATCGCAATTGTGATCTTTTAAGTTCAGTCGGTTGTCTCTTATTCATGTCCGCCATATACGCAAAAGTCAGACAACACCTTTTTATTCGAAATTAGCACTCTGTGATCGAATAGCTAATATTTATAACATTCAAACTAAAAGATTGAAAATTTTCGGCGTGTCTTGTTAGACATAAACAAATTCTCCAAATCGACTCCATTTTGAAGTAGTTTCGACCGATTCTCTATCACGTGCGCTAGCATTGAGGTCTTAATCAAAACATCAGATCGCACACAACTGCTTTTTGTAGCTATCATGAGGTAATATGTTCACTGGGTCTCAGAAAATTGGGGAAAGAAAGGTATTTCCTATAAAATTTAGAAGACGAGATCTTCGAAGTTATTTGGTTTGTTTGGAATTAGTGGAGCGAGCAAAGATCCTTTCAATGATCGATTATTTCTAGGGTGTGCGATAGACTTACCTCCACGTGGTGCACCCTGGCCAACGTATAATCATACGGTAAAAAAGTCTATTATTCGGCAGTTGACTTCTGACTGCAAACTACTCTCTCCCGACACTATGTACTATTTCACTACTTCCACAGTACTCACCTTATCTTTCCTCTGCCTTTGTGTCTGTTTATCTCTTTTGCATCCTTGAATCACTTTTCTGTCCCCCCCCCTTTCGAATTTTTCTCACTTTGACGTTCCTTCTCTCTGGGAAGCCAGAAGTCAGCTAAATGGCTAATGGAAACTATCATAAAGCCTGCCATTTGAAATAAATAAATAAATGATCGATTATTTTTAAGTCAGACAACCTTAATTACCTTTGATGCTTAGCCCTTGATAATAAATTGAATTAAATATCCTGGACAGAAGTCATAAAATTCAATACCCAAAATTCTTCCTTCTCTTATTAGATTGTCGTCTAATGTTCTTTCATGTTCATTTAGGATGTGGGGTTTCGCAAATGCTGCTTTAGTGATCTACCAAGGCTATTTATAGGCAATTATTTATTTAAACTACAAGTACTCACTATTCCCTCTCCGTGCCTGGAAGTGCCGCAAAAACAAAGGTAATAGTGAAAAATTGTAGCTAAAATATTCACATTTAAGTGTCATTTCCCAGGAATGTAATCCACAACTATAACATTAAATCCCTCGTTTCCAAAATTTCTTATTAAGATTAAAAATATGCTTATCCTCTCAAAGCATCCCCCCCCCCCCCCCCCACCCTCCAATACTAGGCACTTTGGGTGTTTAAACTTACTTATTTGATCCCATTTACCAACGCTATGGTACTCAAGCTTCTTTCGTGGTATGTTGAAGCATTGCTAGGTTATCCCGATTACTCCTTCTTTTGCTAGATTTCTACCGAGACGTTTAACTTGCTACTTATTAGCAAAATACGGTAGGTGATTCAGCGACATCTCAATGAGGAGATTTAATGAATTGTTTTATTGGAGAATTTGTTAATCAAATGTCCAAATTCGCAGGTAGCCGATGTTTTCGGGAACCATTTAGTTCTGAGAATACTGCATCTTTAAACGCTACTAATACACGCGTCTTTAATCTTTGGTCAGCTTGACGTGACATATGTTGGATATTTATTAATCTGAATTTTAGAAAAGCGCCTCTATTTAGCACAAAATAAGCAAACCATTTAGCGTTCGCAGGAATCATTATTTTCATGCTTTTTTCCCGAAGCGAGTGATTTGCAGTTAGATTGTGATTGACACCTAACAAAAATAGACACATTGATATTAAAACATGGGTATGTCTGAATGTGATGGATTTAGTCATTCGGTATTATGCCATTTTCTAACAGTATTTGTAATTTGCCCAATTACAAATTGTTACCTTAAGTAACTGAATTAAAAGTGTGTTTCCACTTCTTCTTTGTTACTCTATTCATGTTAAGTATAATTCATATTATCCGCTACCTTGGGAACTAGTTCGAGCTTATTGGACTCCTGGGTGCAAATAAATAGCAAATATTTTCGAAAAATTGCAGTTGACAAAATATGTCATTAAATACCAATCTGTTAGTGAATTGTTATTAAAAGAATAACTAATTAAAACAGAGATTTCATTAGATAAGTTAATTCGACAGAAGTCAAATTATGAAAGACAATTATTCGGTTTATAAATTGATATATAAAGGTTGCTTATATAAAAAATTAAGGATGCTTTAAAACATCGACTATTTTTAATATTAGCCAATTGCTAAGTGTTAGTAATGATAACCAGATAAAGATCGGTATAGTTCCATTTTCCTAGCCTTTTCTAAACCACACATAAGTAAATCAAAAAATGGCTATATAAAAATGAATATACATAAAGACTTACATATATACACAATGATACATAGTAAGATGCTGCTATTTAAATTCCAGAGTATGGCTAAACCTTTGCAACTCATTACATAAGCATAATTAGAAATGAAACATAAAACTTTGTTGTGATTTAAATGATTATATTGTAATTTTGGGAAATATTGTGCCATTATTCATAGTGCAAATAATATCCTCGACTAGGGGACCATCTCGAACTCGAACCAGGTAAAAAGTTTGAAATTACTAATTGACAAAGAGTGGTCATAACAATCACTTACGCAATAATAATTCTGAAATGCAAACGATTCCTTTTCGCCACGATTTTTAAAATTAATAAAAATGAATTAATTAAATCAGGTGCACTTTCAAGTTTTAAAAACATATTTTAGATCTATCGAGTTAAAGACATTGAATTAACCTATAATTTCTCATTCGTATAAATTTGTTTATATATATCAATTGTATTATTACATATGTCCTTGAATTCATTTCCTATCCTTGATTATTGTTGCAACTAACTTCTACCTTATTTGATCAATCTTGCATGTAGTGATACAATGAATTCTGAACAAGTTTGCGTCGTTTGTATCTTTGAAGGAAGTCTTTCCGCTCGCAAAGAAACCATTTCAGTCACGAGCAGTGATAGTGCAATATCAGCCATTATACAAGCTTGCGAAGCGTAGTTGCATTTTTTATTTTTATTTTTCTTAGTATTAAAGCAAAGATCCAACAATACACATTCGACCAAATAAGCATAAATAACACAGAGGTTCTCGATGCCATCTATAATGCAGAGATTTTGGTCATCGATATTAGTGGTTGCGTATGTTTGTCAATTTATGAATCTATTTTTTAGAAAGAAGTATCAGCTTTACTTTATCACCTCGGTGTGCGCGAAAGCATAAAATCGACTGTTAATATAGTATTAGTTCGTGCAGATGATTTCGATCTTATTAAAAGTCTTCCGGCTTTTGAGGAACCCAATCTCATTCTGCCCTATGTAACGGATGAGGAAAGCCGCGCTCGCTATGTGGATACTGATCGGCTAAATCTACTAAATGGTGAGGTCGCAAATGTTAAGTCAAAAATCATCAGCTCACTTCCTATGCTAACCTCGAGGTTGAAGGAAGTCTTCAGAAAGGCTCAAAAGGAAACAAGGTACTTAAATAAAATTTTTCCCCCTAGAGCAAATGACGTCTCAAGTGAAACATATTGCAATATTGTTCATTTTTAGATATCATCTTACATGCCAGTTTGTTAAAGAATTGCGATCTGATCGAGAAATGCTTAAAGATGATGAACTGCGTGTGGTGCGTGATGATTATTTTTTGTTCATTTTCCATTACAAATTAAAATTTAATAATTTATTTGTTAATTTATATATAGAAGTTGCGAAAAATGCGTCGACGCTTAGATGATCCACGTCTCCTCTCATCTGACAGTCTTCTTAACATGTTTCTCTCGTACTTGCGCATTGAGGTTGGTGTGTAGTTTCATATTTTTACATTTCATTATTATTATTGTTATTATCAAATTAAATATTGCCAAAGATTAACTGAGATTTATTTTGCTCCATTCCCATTTTAATTCCATTAGATCGATTTTCGATAAAAGAAATAGGTTTGAACTAATCGGTTTCTTCTATAGGCTTCTCGGTTGCATGCTCTCTTTAGATCTTTTTTACTTTTCATATTGATTATTTATGCTTTATTGTTCACTGAAAGGGCTATTGCATCAGTAAATTGATGCCTTTATACTGTCGCCTTGGGTGGTTTAATAATAAATTTCTCTTCGTCAGAGGGCGTGGAGCACTATTTTTGCTTTATTACTATCTTTATTTGCAAGTAGGGAATAGGAAAAGAGCACATTAACTCTTGCTTTACGTGTGACAGCTCTTGGCGTTTTTTGTCTCCGTATGAAAATGTACTCCCGTAATTCTCCATCATCGTGTTATCTGCATTCGAAGGTTTAGTCTAATCTTTCATAGTTCGCACCTATAAATTTTCATTCACCTTGCATTTTCTACGCATTATTATGTGGTTGGATTGTAGAAAACGAGTACTCCTATTAGTATCTACCTGACTTTACCGTTTACTGGTGTTTAGACACGCTCTTGAAATGATTAATTGACACTTTCTGCAAAAGGAGAGCGCACTACGTATTCAACTGATCGAATTTTTCATGCTTGGAATTTCCTTTACAAATTTGAACTGGACTTGACATTCACGTTAATTCCAGGGAGTTTCGCCCTATCTTAGACTCATTTAAAATAGCTTAATGGAAATGGGACTTTTATTCTCTGATTGCCTCCTCTTAAATAGCCACATCTCTCAGAAATCAAGTAATAGCACATGCACCTAACTAAGTTGTTAGCGCTTCTCCAAAATTAGGTAAGGTGACAGACCTACAATTTTCGCGCATTTTAACCCACATGGAAATGTAATGAATGGTTAACAATAAGCTGTTGATTCAAGTCCTCCCTGGATATCGCTAAATCATTCTTATCCATCAAGTATTTCCCATATATAGTTAATCTTTCTCAAGATCCGAGGCACATTTTGGTCGTTTGTGTACTTTTGAGGAGTTAATTATATGTAGGGGGGGGGGGGTGTGAGTATTTGATCTCATTAATTCTTCATCTAGGCCCTTGAGGATGCACTTTATGGTGGTGAAAATCTGCAATGTCATCATTGCAATGGAATGTTCTTTTTTTCTCTTCAGGCTGAGGATTTCTTGAGTAGGAATGGGGTTAGGCGTATTGGGAGGTGGATCGCCTCGCTGTGTGTAGGTGTGTGTGTGCGAGTGTGAGTCATGTGGTGTCTGTGTTATGAATGAGGTTGTGTTTGTGCTGTTCCCCCGATAAATTTGTCTGGTTTGTTTGATTAATTGTATGTTACCCTTCACCCCCCCCCCCCCCCCCCCCCCCCCCCCCCCCACCCCCTCCCGTATCCCTAGATTCATTGACTCCCAGGGGTCAAGTGGTAGCCTCCCAGTTTTTCTTTTTTTGACCGTCTAAAATGGAAGGATGGTGAGTTGACCTTTCATTTGACGTACTGATGTCGATCAAATCTTATTGGCAATTTGTTGCGTTGTCTTAGTTCCCCCCATCTCTTCAGACTTGGAAAGATTTCGTTTGTTTGGATAGTCATCTGGTGCTGTTAAAAGTTTGGCGTTCCAATTCCTTCTATGATAAACAAAAGTCCCCTTGTGCTTTTCTATTAATGTTTTTGTTTAAAGCAATTCTTTAACTTTGAATTTGGATAATTCTAGTATCGTTAATTAATTACCGCCCCTCTGTCACGTGATATTTTGGGCCTTGTTGTTCCTTAATGATGGAATTAATAATATTACAACGTGTACTTAGTGAGCCGAATGTGCCTTATCGCTGTCTAATAGAACCAATGCGAGAGGTCGTATATTCCATCAAGGTGCCATCACTGTACTCAAGATGAGTATCACAATATTTCATGTAATATTTTTTATGAAAATGGAATGTTAATAGACGGTCACTCAAGTAACCAAATTCCAACTAATCTACCCTTTTATGGCGTCATCAAGCGGTTAGAATCCAGAATTATACATTTTATTATAGCCTAAACAAACTATCCTCCCAAAAACCTCTTTAATTGGCAACTTCCAAAGAAATATTTAGTATGAGGACGTGGTTAGTTGCAGTGTTATATACATTACGATTACCATTAAATGAATCATTTTAATTTTTAAACCCGGGGTGTGTGTGTGTGTGTGATAGACTTACCTTCACGTGATGCACCCTGGGCAACGTATACCCTCACGACAAAATGGTCTATAAACCGAGCAGTTGACGTCTGACTTCGAACTACCATGACCCGACTGGATATCATTTTTCCATCATTTCCACAGTATTCACCTTACCTTGTTCTCTACCTTTGTGTCTGTCTGTCTGTCTCTTTCATCTGTAAATCACTCTTCTGCTCCCCACCCATCGACTTTTTGTGACCTCGATGTTCCTCCTCCTCCTCTCTGTGAAACTCGAAGTCAGCTAGAGGACTAATGTTAACTAATATAAATCCAGCCATTTGATATGAGTAAATTTTTAAATGCAGGCATACTCGGAGATGATAAGTCTCGTGGAGGCTATTCAGGGCCTACGCAATTATTCGCATCTCCTCGAACCGCCAAATATCCGCTATTACTACGCTTTCGCGTTGAATAGGAAAGGAGATCGGGAGAAGGCCCTCAGCATTATTAAGGATGTAAGTTAATCTTTTGCCACTTTTTGCGCGACCTAAAGCCCCCATGTCGCAGTCTCCGTTAGGCAAGAGAGATGGAGAAGGAACACTCACACACACACACACACATACACACTCACATACACACACACACACACACACACACACACACACACACACACACACACACACACACTCACACACACGCACTCATACGCAGGACACAAAACAAGTATGATTGCAACCTTGAAGTATACACACGGACCAATAAGGCAAATACAAGGGAATATAGCAGGCATACTTAATAATAATAGCATTTTTTATGGCATTTACTTTTCTTAGGGGAGAAATATTTGAGGAAATTAGTTTTGCTTCACACTTAACCTATTGGCTTTTTTTGACGTTGGTAGGTGATTGAGACCTGCAAACAACCCTTTCCTGACCTTTACGGTCTTGAGGGGAGGATATACAAGGACCGATTTGTGGAATCCAACTGTACAGACAGGGAGTCTCTTGAAAAGGCCATCAAAAGTTACCGGAAAGGCTTCCAGGAATCTTCTAGCGACTATCTTGGAATTAATCTCGCCACTCTACTTGTGATTGGTGGTGCAGATAGAAGCAACAAGGAACTGGCCACTATCTGTAAGTTTGGATATTGTTTTAAATTTAAAATCTTTTTGTTTTTTTTACTTTGACGAGCCTAAAACATCCTCATAAAACATGTGCGCGCGTGTTTGTGCGTGTTTTTCAGTCAGCCACTTCAATGATAAGAGGTTCAACGCGTTTCATCTTAGCTGCAAGCTTGAAGTGTAAAATCTGGCGGTTTCCCAAGCGCATACCTTATATTTCTAAACTCCTAAATTCACAAGTAGGGAAAATCCTCTCTTCAAGGTGTCCTTCACTAGCATAATCACTTGTTAATGAAAGTTCAAACATTGCTAATGTGCATAACATCGGATTATTGTTTAAAGTTTACCTTGAAACAACCTCTAATATACCTTCGCTAATTGTGTCAGTAAGACAATAATTGAGTATTGAATAAAAATTTTGGAAATTAGCTTTTATCTAACGCATACTCTAATTCAATTTCTCAAATATTCTGTATGTAATTGACTCAGTGTTGACAATCCTCTAGAACTCTTTCCTCCCACTGAAGGAGTATTTAATTTCCCAAATTGAAAATAAAATTTCCTAAATCTAGGGACAAAATGCAGGCACATCGGTGTTCAAATATCTTCCATTAATATCATGCCTACCGTACTGAGACAAACCGCTGCAGATCTTATTGAAAATGAATATTTCGCGTCGTTTAACGTTGCCATGGCAACGGAGTATTCTAAGTCTTAACTTATTATGTTAAGCTTCTCTCAAATTGGAAAAACTCTCTCTCTCTCTTGTTATGTTAACATGCATAGCGTGTATTATTAATATTTTAATTTACTGCACTGATGAAGACACCGCATCAATTCGTCTCTTCCTTTTTAAATAGAATGACAGAAATTCAGCCGATTGACCTTCTAAATAGTAAAATCGGCTCCAGTGCACTTGGAAATGACATCTAAGCCACTAGTCTCATTTGAGTTGATTATAAGCACAATTATCCATCGATTGGATTTTCTAACGCTAAGGGAAGAGCCCCATCGCCTCATGCTGTTTTTTTAAAAGTAAATAATATGAGAGTAAAATTGTATAAACGGGAGTAAGCAGACTGGTCTAGTGGTATAAGTTCAGCGGTCATCTCCGTCTGGCATTCGTTTCATGTCTGGTTCACACTGTCACACCGTATAATTCACTAATGGCCCTAGATCCATATTAAAATACAGAATGGATGAAAGGGTAGACCGTAGACTTTAGGAAATATTGCTAGATAGTAGCCTGGCTACACTTTTTGCGCATTTGAAATGGGGATTTTCCTTTCACCCTCAACCCCCATCAACCTCGCTTTTGCCCGTTAAATGCATCCTAACACAGTTAAGACCCCCGCGTAGTAACGTGGAGTGTAGGTGAATAGTCTAAATTGGGAGTGAAAGGGACAATTGGGTAGAGGCATCAAAATAGTTTCATTTCAGGTAGACGATAAATTCGTCAGGCAGTTTGTTGGAGCTTGGTATAATTTTCCAAAATGCGAGCTTGTTGTGGCTTAATGTCCTATGTTCCTGTGTGGTTGTTTATGGCCATGTGCTAAGAGAGTTGACTGAACTGAAATGTTGGTTAGAGCTGTTCACCTTGAGTTGACACTGCTGTTTTCCTACACTATGGCCCTATTCTTTGGCCCACAGGACTTCTAGAAAGTACTTTTTATAACAGCTTTTTAACACTCTAAGGACTGCTTTACTCTCTCTGCCCTGTTATATCTTTCGACCTGGGACTTATGTCAAGTCTAATTACCTCAAGCCTATCGCATCATTATTTGCAAAGTGCAACTGACAGCTTCTTGTTATTTTCAAGTTATTTTCGTTAAATGAATCCTGCAAATGCAGTAAATAGGGAAGGAAACAGGCGAGAGAATGAGGTTTCACTTTGTTAGGATTAAAAAATTCACCACCAGGCTGCAATGCTACGATAATTGGAAGTTCATTTTTTTCTTAATTGACTTTCTCTATTCACATACAAAATCCTGTTATCGTTGAACGCAGGTGCGTGCGTGCGTGCGTGCTTTTACCGATTTAATTTTAATCGATACACTTAATTCTTATTGGGATTTAATCCTCTTCTCATCAGAGAATAACTGAGGTAGTAGACATGCCGCTTCATTTTCATATTTTTTGCTCACCTAATTCTCTTAATTGGTATCGATTTTTGTAGATCCTACATTCACACGCCATGACATCACCACCACCCCTCTCCCTCCCCCCTCCTCTTCAGCTTTGTCTCTCCACGTCTCTATGAAATTCATTACTCCACCACTTCTCTGTCATCTACTGTGTGCGCTTTAACATGACGTCTTTTTTCATCATTCACCAACATAGAGGCAGGCTGGCACTTTTAAATGGGGTCTTTTACCGACCAGCAGTTTGTTTATTTGTGTCAACTGGAAAGTTCATTTGTGTCCCGTCTTATCTCTACTCCCGTCAAGTTAACCCAATTCCCTTGAACAGGTTGTGCTTGAACTTGTTATCATCATCATCATCAAATTGTGATTGTGGCAAGTAACTTAAATTGGGACAGAAGTAAAGGGCAACAAGAGAGGAACTAAAAATATGTAGGGTAAAATCGATATGTCAAAGCTTTTCTTTTGCTTTATTGGCTTTTTCGATGCGAGATGAGCAATTTTTGCTTAGTGGGTACTCTAAATTCCAAGTTCCCAAAGATGACAATTCGTCAAGTGGATTACTGATCGAGTTCTTGTTCACGATTTCCAGGGGGCTTATTGTGACCGATTGTTTAGCTTTTTTATAACTGATTTTGCTATTTCAGTTCATTTTTCTCCCAAAGGGGGAAAAGCCGAGCCCTGCCACTAGTGTTCACTCAAGGTGGACTACTAAGGGTCTCCATAATCTTTTTTGCCGGTTAATAGTTTATACCAGAGTGCATATGCTATAGGATCACGAATACTAACCATATCGCGAGACAATACCGGAGTTTTCCGAAAATCCGCCCAGAGCGGTTAAACGGGAAATTCAATTTCATAAGTGCTTGTGGGGTCTTATTCAGAAAAACTGGGGTAATTCAACACTTTCTCGCTGTATTAAATCACTCCAAATTCGATAGCCGCTTATGGTCTGTAAAAGTTACGGACGAAAATAGCATGTCAATTAAATTCCTTAAATTGCTTAGTTTTGCGTTGTTCAATGTCAAATTATCTATTTATATCAGAGGACAGGCTTTTAATACTTATCATCAGCTCTTTAGTCGACTTCGGGCTTCACAGAGGGGAGAAACATCAAAGTTACATAAAACGTTGAGAGGGAGAACAGAAGAGTGATTCACAGATGTAAAAAGGCCAGACAGACAGACACAAAGGTAAAGAAGAGGTAAAGTGAGGTGAGTACTGTGGAAGTGGTGGAATAGGGCATAAAGTGGGGTCAAGGTAGTTTGAAGTCAGAAGTCAACTGCCGGTTTATAGGCTATTTTGCCTAGGGTGCACCACTTGGAGGCAAATCTATCGCGAACCCCATAGCTAATTATAAAACTGTCAAGATCTTCGGTGAATCCTTCCGTTTTTTTTCCTTTCGCCTACACAACTGTGACAAGTATTCCGTCGCGTTAAGTGACGTCTCTAAGCTCAACCTACGCATATTGCTATTGCAACAACCTGATAACAAATCAATTGTAATTAAATACCGCCAGACACGTCGTCTGGGTCTTTGATTTTTTCATACCTCCCGTTTGAACCTACCTTCAAGTATCTTCTGAATTTCCACTTTTGACTTTCAATTGCATTTGAAATGCTTGATCAAGTATGTCGCATTTCCCTTTTGATTTTAAAGCAGCCCCCGCTCTTCTTTTAGACCGCGTTTTGTTTACAATATCCACAGCAAATATTCATTCTCATATAACTTTTTTCGTGCCAAAAATTTTCTTGTTTTCCCGTCGGCGTTTCGAATAAATAAATAGATATTTCGGCTTCTAAAGTAGCAGCAAGTATTCATTTGTCTCAATTGGAAGAAAATGTGATCGCCCTCCAAGCAAAGAATGCTTAGCGAATTGTTCGTAGTTATTTTAAGTGTACTTATTGGGGGG